GCTGAACCACCATCCAGCCCCACCTTCTGCCACTCCCACTGCCTCTGAATGCCATGCCACTTTACTCTCCCCGGCCCTTCTGCTTCAGTGCAGGCTCTGCGCTATTCCAATGACTAAGCTGCTTCCAGTTTGTTCCTCTGCAGTTCTTCCTTCACACTGGTGACTGTGAGATACAAACTGTTTAAAACACTTCACTGAGGCTACACCAGCTATGAGGAAAATCCAACGGCTCTACTGGGTGTGAGCTTAGGGCCCACCAAGGTCTGGGTTATGACTGGCAGGCAGCAGCTGTCTCTCCTGTCTTGAGTGGCTGCCATGCTCTGTCACTCTGTGCATTTGCACAAGCTGATCCCTTGACCTGGAGCACCCTTCCTGCCCTCCAAGACCTTAGGAATGTCTTGTTATCCCTCAAGTGTCAGTTTAGATGCCAAGGATTTATGGCTCATGTACTTCACAAACCCATCATTACAAGCTTGAGTGTCCTGAAATTTGTTGCAATTCTTAACACGGAACATGTATGCATTCATGTTATGCTACCCATGTCTACACCATCTGCAGAAAAAGCAAAACACGAAAGTTTGCACCAGTAGTGGAGAACAGTGCCCTACATGAACCTTGACATTTGCAAACAGCATTCCAGGAAATGTCAATTTCTTTAAAATTGTTTTAAATGTCTGCACTATTATTTGAGAAATAACATAATCAAAACCAAATGCATGATAAATTCATATCCTCAAAAAAAAGGAAACGTTTGATATATATCTCCTTTTTTAAAAATGTGTGGTAAAATACACTAATACAAAATTCGTCATTCTAAGTATTTTTAGCTGACAGTTCAGTAGTTAAGTACATTCACATTGTTTTGCACCTTTCACCACTATCCATCTTCTGAATTCTTCTCACTTTACAAAACTGAAACTCTGTGCCCATTAAACAGTTTTTCATTACCCCTCCCTTGGCCCTAGCAACACCATCCTACCTTCCATCTCTATGAATTTGATCACTCTAGGTACCTCATATGAATACAGTCATGCAGTATTTGTCTTTTTGCTACTGTCTTATTTCACTTAACATAATGTCTTTATTCTTTTTTACATCTTTACATAATATCCTGAATATATCAAATCAACTATATGTAATTCTTCTTAGAGAGTCTATGGACCCGTGTGTATTTCACTGTGTGTATTTCACTGTATCATTAGACTACTAATTCTCATCTACTGCTGTAACTGCTGTATTTTATAACAAAACAGAACAATTTTTTTTTTATAGCATGTCATGTTTTTTTTTTTTTTTTTTTTTTTTTTTTGAGAGAGAAAGATTTTTGCTACAAGGCACGTGTGCTCCCCAGACAGAAACAGAAATCAAGAAATCACCCCCCAGGGGAGATGGTCATGTCACAATCCCTGCCCCTCCATTCTCCTCTTGGGATTTTGGGCACACACGCATGCACACATACCTGGCATAAGTTTCAAGCCTCCAGGTCCAGGACTTGAACAGTAGTTGACCATGTGGGAGTCCAGCAAGTAACTATTATGCCAACTGCTGGTCCCAATAAGTCATCTTAAAGTCCAAACTATCACTTAAAATTATACTTAGAATTTGGGCTTAAAGTATATATAGGAAATTAAGATATTATAATAAATTAAGTATAATGAAACAAAGTATAGCAGGAATCCTAGCTTTACACAGATAAGCCTGGTGGCCTTGGCCAAACTAACCTTTCAGGACTATTTTTTCTCACATTAAGGATTACCAAGCCAGGTACTATAGCACAGTAATAATGCAACTGTAGTGTCCAGCAGTTGGTGTAATGGTTACATCACTGGACTCCTATGTAGTCGACCACCACTCAAGTCCTAGATGTGGTGGCTTAAAACTCATGCCAGGAGGCTATGAAGGAGAGGCATTGTATGTCCCCACTTAAAATATACTGAGTGTCCGCACTCTATGACTGAAACTAATTGACTAAAGGATATAGAAACACAATATATAGATGTAAATACCAAATATAGTGTGTGTGAAAGAGGAGGGTCTGAGGAAGGACATTTAGAAGAAAAATAGGGAGGCAAAGCATTAATGGCACAAAGAAATGTGGTATTATCTGTTGAAGATATTTTGTAGTTTTATCAACTGTACTAGGGAGAAATGTTCACCTGTTGAAATATTCATTTTGTAAACCAAATAATAATGTGATTGAATGTATAAAAAGAAATGAAATGGAAATAATAATAATAATAAAACAAAAAACAGAGTACATGAATATGAATATTCAAAAAAAGTCATGCCAGGCACATGTGTTTGTGTGCCCAAAGTCCTGAGAGGAGAATGGAGGAGAAGGGATTGTAGTATGGCCACCCCCCCCCAACCCCAGAGGTTGATTTCTCACTGTCTTTCTATCTATCTCTGTCTCTCTGGTGAGCACACAAGCCCTATAACAAAAATCTCTCTCAAAAAAATAAAATGATGCAACTGTGATGCTTAAGTCACATGGGAAGGTCCTGGATTCATGTCTTGAGGCTTCACTGAATATGCCAGGCACACATATATGTGCTCATGACTCAGGATGGTCAAGATTGAGGGTAGATTATGCTGTAAAGAACCTTATTGTGGATATTTCTCTCTCTCTCTCTCTCAGAAGAAATATATAACTAAAAATTCTTTTTAAAAAGTATATTATAAATTGAAAAGTCAAATATGAATAATCATTTTTTTAGAGGTTTTTCACTATAGGGTGCGTGCGGTCGCCAGACAGACAAAGAGAGACAGAGAGACAGAAAGCAAGAAATCACCCCCCGGGGGGATGGTCATGCCACAGTCCCTTCTCCTCCATTCTCCTCTCGGGATCTTGGGCACACATGCACACGCGCCCGGCGTGGGTTTTAAGCCACCGGGTCCAGGACGAGAACCACGGTCGACTACGTGGGAGTCCAGCAACATAGCCATTATGCTAACTGCTGGTTCCCAATAATCATTTTTATTATTATTATACAAAATAGATAATCAGACTGAATAGGAGTTAGAAAATTCAATACTTTCTTATCTTTAATGTCTAATTAAATATTAAAAGCAAATAAGAGCTCAATTTATCTTACCCACTTAGAGAACATTTGTAACATAAAAATAAATTGTGGCTATAATTAAATTATAACAATGCTCATTAATTTTGATGAAGGATCATGAGATCAATACTAAAGAATTATCATAGTTAAGGAAGAAGAACATTTTACTTTCCTAAAATAGAAAAATGATTCAGTATCTTTAAAAACTAATCCCATTTAAACTATGTTGAAATGATAAAAATAATACAAATCTTAGAGATGCCAAGCCACTTTTTTTTTAGAAGTTTTTTTGCTGTAAGGCATGTGCACTCACCAGAAAGACAGACAGAAAGCAAGAAATCACCCCCCAGTGGGGATGGCCACGTCGCAATCTCTTCTCCTCTGTTCTCCTCTCAGGATCTTAGGCATACACACACACGCACCAAGTGTGAGTTTAAGCCACCGGGTCTGGCGCTCGAACCGTGGTCAACTACATGGGAGTCCAGAGATGTAGCCATTACACTATCTGCCAGTCCTGATGCCAAGCCACTTTTTAAAGTGAATATCACTGTTTTAAAATATAGAGATCTCAAAATTAAATCATTCATATTACATTTTCCCATTTGGACATAAATCTACTTGCTTATAAAGCAGGCTCTTAATAAAAAAGAAAGGACAGAAGAGTATTATCTTACTTTGTAAAAGGTGATATAAAGAGAGAATTAGATAACCCAAGTGTTACAAGAAAATGATTGAGAAAATAATGAAACTGTAAGGAATTAGTTGAAGAATGTAGTGAGGGTGGAAGATGTGAACTAATATTTATTAAATGCCTTTGACTTCCAAGATCTGTGCTTGGGTCTTTCACATCATTTGCCTCATTTACTGAAAAAATGATTAGCATTTTTATCTGCAATTTGTAAAATAAGAAACTGAGGTCTAGATAGTTTCACGGGCTAAGTCACAAAACTAAAAAACGTAGCCAATTAGTTCAAATTCAGCTCTGAGTCCAAAGCCCATGTACACTCTGTTTACTGTCTCCACCAACCAAGTAGATCCTTGAATGATTTATTTTTTCATTTATTCACAAGTGCCTCTGATTATTTGATAGTCAATTTTTCTTCTGCAATTTCTTACCATAATTTATGTTCTACTTTTTATTTGAGTCAAGCAACATTGCTATTCCTTTCCTAAGTACAGTGAAAAAGATTTTAAAATATCCTAATTGACCTATATAAACATCTAATGTGGATTTTGTAGTTAACATAATACATTTAGAAATTTAAATAATACATTTTGAAATTTATCTACAAAATATGCAAGTTACTACAATTTAAACTTTAATACTTGTTCAAATAATAATCATTGAAGTGTTATTATTTAGGGGCCAGCACTGTAGCCTAGTGGTTAAGGAAGCCAGATCCTTCATGGCTTCCACTAGTTTGAATTTCAGCCCTGGCAGCTTGAAAAACATACT